CTCAGCCTCGGTTCCCCCTGGTTTTACAGCCAGAAGTTATGGGGACTTCTCTTCCTGGCACTGGAACCCTGAGTTGGGAGCCTGGTGTGGGACGGGGACCCCTCACTCCTCAAGGAGAACCTTCCTGGTCGAGGTATCCTCCTGATTTTTATCCACCACACATGGGTGTGGGACCAGCCCGTCTAGATCTCCATCCTTCCTACCAGTCTGGATGTGACTGCTTCTTGAATGTCATAGTTGTAGGATTCCATTCAGCTCAATTTCAGGTGGTTCTGAATGATGGTTGTTCTGTAGTTTAGATATAATTTTGATGTGGTTGTGGGAGGAGGCGAGTTCCATGTTTACCTACACCGCCAATCTTGACCTATCTTTTCAGTTTTAAGTCAATGGATTTCATTAGAAAAATTCTGTCATTTCACTTGAAGGTACTTGCAGTTGATCATTCTTCAAAATATACATTGACATTTACTATATACCAGGTACTCTATGGGTTACAAAATAAGATTCTTACCATATAATTATAATCAATACAAGAGATAAGACATGTACCAAAAATCTCCCCAAATGGTAAAAGTGCCATACAAGATAAACTGCTCTAGAGTAATTTGGGAAACCAAAAGAGTTCATTTTCTTATATCAGGTATGAAAAGAAAAAGCTGATAAAAGAGGTAAATACTGGGCAGAATAATGAAGGGCAAATAAAAGTTATAATATTAGAAATAGGTCAAGGAGGACTTTCTGAGAAAAAGGAATAGCATGAACAGAATTAAGAAGATGGGAAAGTATTCTGGGAAAAGTATTTCAAATGGGCACAGTGCATGGTATTTCGGTAGGGGAGAAGAAGGCTAGTTAGTGATCAGGCTAGGGCCAGAGTGTAGAATATTTTGAATGCCATGCAAAGGAATCTGAATTTTATTATATGGGTAATGAAGTACTACTAAAGACTTATGAGCAAAGAACAAACAGAAGAAATGATACTTTAGAAAAATTAATTTGCAAACAAGATGGACTGGAATAAGGTAGCTGAGAGTCAGGGAGACCAGTTAGAAGGTGACTACAACAGTTGCCATACAACAACAAGAAGGACACTGAACTAAGATGGAAGTAACAGGAATGGAATTCTTTATATGGTTAGGCAGTTTACAATTTTTTAATATTTCTATATATTTCATATAAATTAACTGTACAAATCAAGCCAAGAGGCCCCTATACAAAAAATGATTGCATCTCAAATCTGGACAACCAAAAGGGTTATCTGAGACATAATCATGTACCAAATCAAAGGGCAGGGTTTGCCTTTTGAAAGATACAATCTAGTTACTATCAGCCCAAGAAGGTTCACATTATTTCTATACTAACATTTAACAACACTCTAGGGAAGTGACAAACAATCATGTTTTGAAGACAAATATTTTTTGCATTTTTTTTCTTTCCATCATCTTTATCAGTACAGATATTTGCATGAAAACAGGATCACTGGTCCTTGGGGATTCATCAGTTCCTATTGCTTATTTTTCATCCATGTCATCTTCTCAATTAATGCAAGAAAGAGACATCAAATACCAGATTAGGGTATCAAGTAAATGTCAACCCCTAGAGTAGATGAAAAATCTATAAGGACAAAAAAAAAATCTTGTTTTTATGCAAATACACTATACACAATAAAACAAAGAGACTGTATCCAAGAAGTCTGATACATACCAATGTAATTCTTTCCAATTCTAAATTTAAAAACTATTTTCTATGTAGCTAATTACTTATGATCAAGGAAAATGACAATCAGTTGCAAAGCACTGCTACAGAAGTTTAAATAAGATTGAATTTTGAACGAGAAAATAATTTTGAAAAATCTCAGCTGTGCTCAGGGGCATATCTGGCAGAAATGAGCATTTGTGTTGCAGAGTTTTGGCTCAGTACTTAATGTGGCTGATTAGGTGACTTCAAATCCCCACACCTTCAAAGTAATAATGGTTTTAACTGTGCAGATCAAAAACTAAAACTAAAACAAACCATACCAAGTTTTTTATTCAGTGGAAAGCCATTAAAAGAGACTTTACTGATGCTTAAGGAACTGACTCATTCTAAAAATTGATAAAGAATCAGTCATTCAGTAAAAATAGCTTTCATGGTAATAATAAATAGTTAATAAGATAATAATAATAAATAGTTAATAAGACCATCAAAGAAAAATTCTAGCTGATAAAAAGGAATGACAGAATTAGAATATTATCATTTTGCCACCTATAATAAAATAGTGGACCTAGGTAGTTATCAAAGGCTGCTAAAACTCTGAGTGAAAGGCTGATGGAGAATTTTATAATAAATAATATATCAGGATCAGGCTAACAATACCTTTATCAACTGATTAATCTTAAAATCACAAAGAGAGACAAATAAACATTATATACCTTCTGATGAATGTATACACCATTTATGAAATATTCTTGCCAAAATAAAAATCAAGACTGAATCTATCTATGCAAGCTTCTAGATCTAACCATCAGGAAATAAAAAGGCATAGACAAACATATTTAGCACTACCATGGGGACGTAAGCAACAAAATCCAGAATATGGAAAATTCTACTGAACAAATAACTAGATTTAATAAATGACAAGGGAAAATAAAAGGGAGGTGGAACTCTGACAGATTAAGAGACTTAAGAGCCCTGGCCAGTTTGGCTCAGTGGCTGGAGCATCGGCCTGTGGTCCAGAAAGAGACTTAAGAAACATATCAACCAAATATAGTATATAAACCTTATTTAGATCCTGATTCAAAAAAACTTACTGCAGCCTGGCTGGGGTGGCTCCGTGGATTAGGCAACATCCCATGAACTGAGAGGTCCCAGTTTGAGTCCTGGTCAGGGTGCACGCAGGGTTTTGGGCTCAATCCCCAGTGGGGGACATGCAGGAGGCAGCCAATCGATATTTCTCTCTCACATGGATCTTTCTATCTCTCTCTCCTTAAAAATAATAATAATAATAAAAAAAACTGTATAAAACCAGTTATGAGTCAACCAGGAAAATCTGAATCCTGATTGGCTATTTGTTTATATTAAGCAAGTTTGTTAAAACTTTTTAGGAATAATAATGAAATTGTGATTACATTTAAAAGAAAGAAAGAAAGAAAGAAAGAAAGAAAGAAAGAAAGAAAGAAAGAAAGAAAGAAAGAAAGAAAGAAAGAAAAGGAGAGAAACAAGGAAGGAAGGAAGGAAGGAAGGAAGGAAGGAAGGAAGGAAGGAAGGAAAAAAGGAAGAGGAAGGAGAGTACTTCACTTCTCTTTTGGAATCATATATGAAGTTATTTGAAAGTGAGGTAATATGATGCCTGAGAATTAGTTTAAAATAATCATGGGAGGTTGGTATAAGTAAAACAGATTGCCTATGTTGACTACTGAAGCCGAGTCATGAGTACATGAGGTCATTATTTTAGTCCCTCTACCTTAGTGTATGTTTAAAATTTTCCACAATAAAAAGTAGTAAAAACAAAAGAACACCCCACCTCATTATCTTTCTCTGTAGAAAAGCAGAAAAAGAAAAACTATAGCAATTTCAACTATAACTAACTAGAGATAACACTGTTGATCAATATATTTGGTAATACAGCATCTTCTTGATATACTGAGCACAAAATTTATTTCATAAAAAAATTGACACAGAGAGATAAATGATTGATCATTATGATCAATCCAGCATTTATTATCCAGAGCTAGAAACAGAATCAATTTCTATACTATACAAGCCTTGCATTCATGAATTTAATAATCAAAGATTTGCTTTTTCATTATAAACCCTGGAGATCTATGACATAACTGGTAATTAGTAATTTTACTAAGACTTAAACTTTAATCGCAAGAAATATACAACCAGTACACAGAGGAGAGTTAGGTCACAATGAGTGAACCTAGCAGACTACCTAGCAACCATATTTCAAAGCAATTTGTTGTTCTCTGCTTCATGAAGTGACTCAAAAATATTTTCTTGGTAAAAGAAAACCAGCTGTTAATCACAGTAATGGAAATAAAGAAAAGATAGATACCCACTGAGAACAAAGTTCTAACCACTGTATTTATGTTGAGTATCTCTTTCAACTACAAAGAAAAAATTTTCTACAATTCCTTTTCTAATTTTATTATGAATACAGTATAGGAAGAGGTACAATTTATGAAGAAATAATTTTAAACTAAAAGAATGAAGAACAGAAATGAATAAGTGAGATCTTTTACAACTTTACTCATGGTAGCCGATTATGTTCTTGGTCTACTATCTATTCCTTCCTTTGAGGAACCAATTGTTCCCTCCCATTGCGTGAGATTTGAGTTAGACTAAGTCTTTCAATCTGTGGCTGCACCTAAGACCCAGGTGTGATCTATCAGCATGCTTCACGCTACCTGTCGAAAGGACTGGTTCCAGGACAGGTGTGTGAGCCAAGATGAAACAGTCAAGAGTCCTCCCCAGTAACTTTCTTTTGGAAAGTTCAGAAAAAACGTTCTTTCTTTGAGGATTATGAAATTTAAAGACATAAATTAGAGCTCCTCTTGGCCATCTTCCCTAGTTCTAGAAAAAAACTATCTGCAGTAGCAAAGAATAAGATTAATGCATGAGTGAAACAAAGCCTTAAGTTGCAAAACAAAAGCAAGAACAAAAGCATATCCTAATGACATCATTAAGAGTCAAGGATCTAGATATCCTCAAAGCTATTTTTACTCCTGGAATTTTGATTTATGTGAACTAATAAAGTCCCTCTTTTGCTTAAGCTAGTTTTTTTGGACATTTTATCACTTAAAACTGAAAGGGTTTCCAATATATTTTTACTATACAGAGAAAAATAACTGTTATCTAGTAAACTCAGTAATTATTCCAGTAAACTCTCATAAACACTTCAGATTACAATGACTTCTTATTTTCACAAAATGTAATAAAGATACCGTCTGTATTACAGTTAGAACTCATCAGAAAATACACAATAGGCAACCCTGAATAAATGTAATCTGGGTACTCACACTCATCTAGCCCCAGCTGATAGGCCAGGTTCTGTAGGCCTCGTACCTTCTCCATCAAGTTAGCTGTGGTGAGGCTCCCCAGTTCTGAAACAGAATCATTTATTTCAATACCATTTCTTTCCACTGTTCTCTAGTAACAACTCATTCGAGTTGGGAAGCCTTGTTATAAAAGTTTTCAAGCTTAATTTCTATGAAATAAGTAGACAATAAATACATTTTTTTCCTCACCCAATCAATCATTCCCCTACACACACAACAGTAAACTGTTCTCACTACTGCAAAATGCCTCAGCTGAGCTTACCCACTATGAGAAGAGACTTAGCATAAATACAATAGCAAATTATGTGTTTATAACATTCACTTGGCTATCAACAAAATGAATACACTATTAAAACATGAAACCTTGTGATTTGACATAGCATTGAGAAGGCCTACCAGACAGATCTGTCTTGAAAAATATTCATTAACTCCACTGTCTTTTATTAGATCTTTTTATTTCAATTAACTATAAAATAGTGACAAAACATGTACTGTTCCCCCATTTCCCTAAGTTTAGAAAACAAAAACTAAATACTAATCCGAACTTTCCTTTCAAATCAAATACCTATAAAATTTTAAGTTTACCAGATAAAAAGACAATATACTTTTAAAAAATAAACTTACTTTCTCAGATTTAAAAAAAAATTTTTTTAATTGATTTTTTAGAGAGAGAGAGAAAGGGACAGATAGAAACATCGATGAGAGAGAGAAACATCTAACCCGGGCATGTACCCTGACTAGAAATTGAACTGGGACCTCTTAGTCCATGGGACAATGCTCAATCCACTGAGCCACAGTGGCTGGGCCCCAGATTTTCATTTAAATAGAAGAGCATGAAATTCCTTTTAAGTTTAAGACACAGGTCAATTTATATGAAACATAATGTCATATCCCTTATTAAAAATTTAAAGTTTCCTTAGAAAATGAATACTGATGGCATATTATATAAATGTCTGTTTGGAACATTAAAACAATGAATCAGAAATGTCCTTGAGACTTAATATTTCCATAGTTGGAGGAGGGAAATCTGTATTTAAGCATTTGATAGAGAACAATGAATTACCTTTGAAGTGAAATAAAGGTGTTATTTTCTCCCACTTATCATGCCACACTCATCAATATCTGACATAAGTAGTAAACTTTCTTGATCTGTTCAGCTGCTTAAATATCTTAAGAGTCCAATTTTTACTTTCATTTCAGTCTATTACTTCACAATCATCATGAATCTTATCATCAGAGGATGATTAAAAAATAAATACATGAAGTAGAGCAAAAATCAAGGAAAATTAATGTTTTTAAATTTAAATTTCCACTTGTGGTTGAGTTCCAAGTCATTTATCAAACAACAATATTCACTATTTATAGTATTCTTTTTTTTTCCCCTCACCGGAGGACATTTTTTTCCATTTTTTGTTCAGATAGAGTGGGGAGAGAGAGGAAGAGAGAGAGAGAGAAATATCAACATGAAAGGGACACATTGAGTGGCTGCCACCCGCACGACCAGCCAGTGCTGGGGACAAACTGCAACCGAGGCACACGTCCTTAGTGGGAACCAAACCCAGGTCTCTCTGGACCTCAGGCCGACACTCTAACCGCTGAGCCAAACCAGCCAGGGCACTTATAGTATTCTTTATGGGAGAAATTGATTGGATAGAATAAAATAAAAGACCGGTCTTAACCCACTAAGTGGTTGTCAATTAATAGTATTGACAACAATATATGGCAGGAAATCCTAAATAAGGCATTTGTTTATAATAGAAAGAGACTAAACTTAAAATAAAAAATAAATTTTTCACTCTAACAAATCTTGGTTAAGTTAACCTTTGAACCTTAGATATCTAACTCACGGCACCTTCATGAGAATTAAATGAGAAAATTCATGTGAGAGCTTTTTGTTAACTGTAAGCATTATACAAAAGAAAGGTAACAATAAAGGAATTTAGCAGCAGAAGAAATCATTATAAGCAGGTCTTAAATTGGAAGGATTTCTACACGTTGAAAAGTAAAGAAAGGCATTCAGACATGAAGAACTATCAATAAGGATAGTTAGGTAGGTAGTATGAATGAAGCTAAGAATACTTTAAAGGCCCTAGCCAGTTTGGCTCCTACCTGAGGATGAAAAAGTTGCAGGTTCAATTCCTAGTCAAGGGCACAAGATTCAGTTGCAGGTTTAATTCCCAGCCCCCATCAGGGTCACGTGGGAGGCAACCAATCAGTGTGTCTCTCTCACATAGATGTTTCTCTCTCTTTCTCCCTTCCTCCCTCCAACTCTATCTAAAAATCAATGGAAAAATATCCTTGGGTGAAGATTTAAAAAAAAGAATGCTTTTAAGGGAACAGTAAGAGAAAAACTAGGAAGGTGGTTTGTAGGGGAACATAAATATAAGGTTAGAATTCAGAAGTCACCAGCATAGCTTACCTTTCAACATGTCGATATCATCACGTTCTATTTCAGCCATCCATTTGGGTGGTGAGCTAGTAATAGGCTGTCAAAAAATAAGTATATATCCATTCAGATACATACAAAATATGAAGAGACCCCACTCTTCCTTCTTATAAGTAGCTTGTCACACAGCAGTCAGGTTGTTGGAAAATACTGGCAAATTATACTTTCTAAAACCCAGATTTCTCCAGATTCAGATATAGCCTATAGTCACCTTACAAAATAATACTGCTCATCCTTTTTTTTTAAATCCTCACCAGAGGACATTTTCCCATTTTTGTTCAGAGAGGGAGGGAAGGGGAGAGAGAGAGAGAGAGAGAGAGAGAGAGAGAGAGAAACATCAATGTGAAAGGGACACATTGAGCGGCTGTCTCCCGCACAACCCCAACCGGGGCCGGGGACAAACTGCAACCGAGTTACGTGCCCTTAGCGGGAACTGAACCCGGGTCTCTCTGGACCTCGGGCCAACGCTCCAACTGCTGAGCCAAACCGGCCAGGGCATACTGCTCATCCTTAAAGTTGGTCTCAGAGAAATGATCTTGGAAGAATTCATTCTGACTACTGTTACTGTTTTATGCATAACAGGCTAGCATAGCAATTATTTTAAACTCAGTCTGGTGAAAGCCTCCAACTGAAACATTTGAAATAATGATCAGTAACATTCTCTAGCAGAGAAGATTCAAAGAAGAATGGAGAATGAGAAAATCCTCAATCTGCAAGAAGACCGTAATGATCATCACTTGAAATTTCATTTTATGGTAGATGTTTTAGAAAACTTAAGAATTTTAAGTTATCTTCTCATTTCTGAAAGTGAACTTACAAAATTTGAAAGAGCCCATTCTTAGAATAGCTTTGGGCAACAGTTTTCAATCCTAGTTGTATGTAAGAATCATCTATGATGTAACAACAAAAAATACAAATGACCTGGCCATACCCTAGATGCACTGATTTAGAATATCAGTGGTTGGGGGAGGGTGCAGTGAAGAGAACAGAGCAAAGGACATTATGGACATTACATATGTATTTTTTTTTCTTTATTGATTTTAGAGTGAGAGGAAAGGAAAGTGGGAGAGAGAGAGAGAGAGAGAGAGAGAGAGAAACATTGATGAGAGAGAACATTGACTGTCCGCCTCCTACATGCTCCCCACTGGGGATCAGACCCACAATCTGGGCATGTGCCCTGACCAGGAATCAAACCAGTGACCTCTTGGTGCATGGGTTGCCGCACAACCACTGAGCCACACCAGCTGGGCATTACATATGTATTTTTTAAAGTCTCCACAGCTGCATACTAATGATTCTGTTGTGCAGGTAGGGGTGCAGTTGAGAAACATTACTTCAACTTTGAGCCCTTTTACTTTTTAAAAAATTAACATTTACTTGGCACTATGGGACAAGCAAAACACTTACATGCATTATGTCATTTAATTTCCAAATCAACCCTATGAAGCAGGTATTACTACCCTTTCATTTTACAAATGAAAAAAAATGAAATGTACAAGCAGATTATAAATCACTTGGCTCAGGTCACACAGCTGGTGGAGCCAACATTCAAAATCCACGTAGTGTGAGTTCAGAAACTACTACTCTGTACTACCTTCCCTAGAAAGCTCTAGGTCAGCCCTGGCCAGTTTGGCTCAGCGGTTAGAGTGTCGGCCTGCGGTCCGGAGAGACCCGGGTTCGGTTCCCGCTAAGGGCACGTACTTCGGTTGCAGTTTGTCCCCGGCCCTGGTTGGTCGTGTGGGTGGCAGCCACTCGATGTGTCCCTTCACGTCAATGTTTCTCTCTCTCTCTCCCTTCCTCTCTCTCCCTCCCACTCTATCTGTACAAAAAAAAAAGAAAGCTCTAGGTCAAATTCACCATTTCTGGAAAAAGATTATCCCAGGGGATCTTACCCTGGAGTCCTGGGATGACTCCAAACCCCTAGAATCAAAACTCAATATATATGTGCATACTTCTAGGGAAATGGTATAGCTACTTAATCAGATTTTTAAAAAATACAATACTATATTAAAGTTATTTAAAAACCACTTAATTTTATTTACAACTCAAAATATTTAGTTGTTACCAAATACACTTAACTAAACTGAAAAGTTACTATGAATGAGAATGTAAGAAAATTAAATCAGGTACTTTCTACTCCATCTACTAGACAAAAGCTGATCTAATAATAATAGCTACCATGTATTGTTATGTCCCAGATACAATGCAAAGTGTTTAACATGCCCTATGGCATTAAGAATCCTATGACGGCCCTGGCCGGTTTGGCTCAGTGGTTAGAGCGTCGGCCTGCGGTCCTGAGAGACCCGGGTTCGGTTCCCGCTAAGGGTGCGTGCCTCGGTTGCAGTTTGTCCCCGGCCCTGGTCGGTTGTGCGGGTGGCAGCCACTCGATGTGTTCCTTTCACATCGATGTTCTCTCTCTCTCTCTGTTCCTCTCTCTCCCTCCCACTCTACCTGAACAAAAAATGGAAAAATGTCCTCGGGTGAGGATAAAAAAATAAAATAAAATAAAATAAAGAATCCTATGACATAGTTTCAGATGAGAAAACTAAGGCTCAAAAATGTCAGAAATCTTGCTGAAGTCACAGATAGGTAAGAAGCAGATGCAGGATTCAAATCCAAGAGTGTCTGACTCCAAAGCCCTACGCTATTCTGAACTCCTCCTACTTAGGTCTTACTGAATGCTAATGGAGCACAGGCCAGCTTATATACAACCTTAGCTCTTGAAAAAAATGAAAGAGGCTACGAAGTCAGACTCCCTCTGAACAAATACTTTCATCGGACCTGAAAGCCACAGGTCCAGAGGGACCTTAGCATTTAATTCAGTACCTTTAACTCTAATATTGATTACAGAATGCTGAGCATATAGTAAGGTACTGTAAATGTTATATTACAAATCCCCAATGTTATGGTTTAATGGAGAGTATGAGCCTTTTAATCAGACAGGCTGGCATTCAAGTCCTGGCCTATCACCCACTAGGACTTAAGCAAGTAACTTATCTTTCAAGTATCTCTGTCAGTCAGTGCTTTTAACATTGGGCTGAAATGCTTCTAAGCGTGATGTTAAGAGTGTGGATGCTAGCCCAGCTGGACAGGCTCAGTTGGTTGAACACTGTCCTGTGCACCAAAAGGTTTGCTAGTTTGATTCCCTGTAAGGGCACAAACCTGGGTTGCAGGTTTGATCCCCGGTTGGGAAGCTTATGGCAGGTAACCAATTGATGTTTCTCTCATCACACATCCATTTTCTCTTTCTCTCTCTCAAGCATGTCCTCAGGTAAGGATTGAAAAAAAAAAAAAAGTGGATGCTAGTAATAAGACTAATGGATTCAAAGCCCGATTCTGCCATGTATAGCCTATAACCTTGGGTAACCCACTTACTTTCTCTGTGCCTGTAAAAGGCCTCATATAGTTTTGTGCAGATTAAAAAAATATATGTAAAGTGCTTAGAACAGTGCCTGGCACATGGCACTACCATGTAAGTGGTAGCTAATATTATAATCATCATATTCTCTGGGCTGTGGGAATATAGAAGAGAACATATGTATAGCATTTAGCACAGTGCCTGCTGTCCTGGAAGCAGAAAAGTTATGGCTCTAATGGACATCTTCCTTCAGTTTCTGTGAACCACTGAGAAATTTAAAAAATCCTCTAAGGAGGTATAAGTTAAGGTCATAATACATCACATAAACAAAAAAGAAAAGCTTCAAGATCATAGTTTGGGCAAAAAGAATGCTGGCATTACATTAAATATTTCAACTGCCTTACATTAAAAGCTTTCCAGCTAAGCAAAGAGGCTAATAGACAAAGGTCAAAATGCCAAAACAGAGCTTTGGACCGAGGAAGACATTATCATCAATTGACAATAATATAAACAGATTTCCAGGGCTGTAGTTACAAAGTGATTTAAAGACCATGACATTATTTTTGAAAACAAAGAAAGAAGAGACATTTGAGCTTTTACCAAGGAGCAAAACAGTGGATAAACTTCATTAGGTAAGTAAAATATTACTTACACTCTTGAAAGAAGCTGCAAATTCAGCAACACCTGGTACTAAAAAGAAAAAATACAACATTATTTATTCAATAAACATTTTAGTGTCCCAGACATAGAGGATTAAAATAATAAGAAAACAGCCTTGTCTTCAAGGAACTTCCTGTCAATAACTATATTACTTAAGTAATAATCACCACCACGATCACCACCACCACCACCAAAAAAAGAAGATACAGAAAAAGCTTCTCAGAGAAAATAGCTCAATAAAACATTGAAGGATCAGGAACTAGCTGAATGGGTGGGTGGTAAGATACAGTATCTCTTACCAAATAAAAGTTTAATTTTCCTTTATAAGTATGCTGTTCTGCCAATTCAATTGTTTATTTAAATGTCTTATGGGAAGAATCATTAAAAAAAAAACACACACACACACACACAGAAAAATAAAAAATAGGTATTTAAAAATAAAATGTTCAATTTCACTTAGAGAAATACAAACTAAAAATAAAGATCAGTAACATTCAATATCAGCTACCATGTAAGTAAATGGGCGCTCTCATACAGTCATCCTCTTCCATGTGCACAAAGCTATTTGTGCAAGAAAATTATTAATTTATAATATCAAAAATTGGATATAATTTCAGTTTCCAAATAGGGTATGAATACATAAACTACAGTACAGCTATACATTGAAATACTTTAAAAGAATGAAGTAGGTCCACACCTACTGACATGAAAGAATCCATTCATAACTTACTCCTACTAGGTGGAATAAGTTAAGCAGTAAACCATGTACATATGACCCCATTGTTATACCCCCCGCAACAAAAACAAAACAAAACAAAACAAAAAAACTCTATATATTTAAAAATACATATGTAATTGCTTATTTGAATAAGTATAAAAAAAGGTCAAAAGGATTGCACCAAACTATTAATGGTGATTTTATAAGAGTGCTTTAAGGGATGAGGAAATACATTACATATCTCTGTATTGTCTGAACTTATGAGAGATATTTTTAAAAAATTATTTTTTTAAAGGATCCCTATCATTTCCCAAGTTGCATTGTGTCCTGAAAAAATTAAACCTCCAAATATCTATTCTTAACGTTGGATCACAGAATTCATTTTCATCCCTTTGAAGTAAAATTAAAAATTTAATATTACACTTAATGATACCTCTTCAAAAATCTCCCTCAATGTAGCAGTGGTTCTCCTGCATTGATTCTGACATAAAGAAATAAAAAACTTACATTGTTCTGGCCAAAGGTCTGGTGAGGCACGGTCAAGTTTTTCAAAACTTAACAAAGATGCTTCCAGATCCGTCCCTAGAACAAAACACCCAGATGAACCAAGAAGATACAAAACATGTTAATTTATATTTTAAAACATTTCAATAACATAGAACATAACATACTGGAATACTGACCTGGAAGTCTAGATATCTGAGTTCTATAACTACAAATAAATGTTATACAAATGAATTATTCTGCCTCGTCAAACCTCACTTTTCTGATCTCTCATGTTTCAGTGAGGTGTTAGAAAAAATGAGTATCAGCAAAATCCCCTGCACCTTCACTCATACTCTTAGAATTTCCTCCAGTTACAATCAATTAAGTATCCCTGCTCTCAAGAAAAACTAGGGTTCTAAATTCTATCTTCTCTTGCTCTGTCAAAGACATCATGAATAATATCTTTCTTGAACAATCAGTTTCTACTATCTCTACTGGCTCATACTCAACAGTAAGCAAGCCTGCTCTAGAATTTTCCTTCTTTGAAAAAACTCTTCCTTGACCCTATTACCTCCTCACTACTCCTTCACTCAAAAGTCCTTGAGTTGTCTGTCTATCCTGCTGTCTCCACTTCCTCACCTCGCATTCGCTCCTTAACCCATGACAATCAGGCTTCTGTTTCTATATACATGGAAACTGCTGTTTTCAAGGTTATCTCTGACCTATGTGGCTAAATCCAGAGGTAACTTCTCTGTTCTTTTATGTTATCTCTTTGCAGCTTTCACCCACTGACCACTCTCCTTGAAACAGTCTACTTCCAGCTTCTATAAAACCACTATGCTGCTTTTTCTCCTTCCTCACTGACCCCTTCCTCAGTCTCCATTCTAAGCTGGTTTCACTCTCTACCTAAAGTCTCCTAAGAAGATCTCCTCTAATCCCATAACTTTTACCATGCCATATTTATATTTATTTATTTCCAGTCCCAATCTTTCCCTGAACTTCAGAGTTATATATCTAACTAGCTATTTGACATCTCTCTCTATTTACATGTTTGAAAATCCCTTATTTCTAATATGTTCAAAACATACTCTTCCAGGCCTCTAGATCTCAAGAAATTGCACTACCACGAACCCCAGTTCTCAAAAACACAGATGCCATCCATTCTTCATGCCTCCCTTTCCTTTACCCTTTCATAACCAACTATTTGTAAATCCACTAGTTTCTAGCTCCAAAATACACCCTGAAACCAAATTAATTAACCAAGTAGTCTCCAGGACCACCTCAATAACTTTTTAAAAGGTCTCCTTTTTCTCATTCTTACCCTTTCCCCTCCATAACCCCAAATCTATTCACAAAGTAGCTAGAACTGATTTTTTTTTAAATGCCAATCAGTTCATGTCACTCTCCAGCTTAAAGAACTTCTTCCCAGCTAAATTTGTAAATTTGTATCTACCATGCACTATAAAATCCTACATGATCCAGCCTAATTCTTTGACATCATTTCCTCTCCACACTTGCTTGGGCACACAATAGATACTGGATATTAACAACAACAGTTAACATTTGTGGAGTACATACTGTATGTTCAGTATGCTAACTAGTTGCATAAATTATTTCATTTAATTACACAAATAGTTTTTAACATTTTCTGATAAGCTACATCTTTTGAAATCTAAGGAGGGGAAAAAGGCTATGGACTCACTCCCCAGTTCAATATGAACTTTTCTCTAAATTGAATTTTTCTCCCAAATATTTTAAGAAAAATTCCAGTGGCATTCTAATTGGTCAAGAACAGAACCCTAATAAATTGCCTTAATTAAAGCATCCAAAAATGGTAAGAAAGAAAATTTGTGTGCAACACAAAGTATAAATTTTCAAATTCCAAGGAATGTTACAAATGGGAAGTCAACCATAACAAAAATAAACTTATTGCAGGTAGAAGCCAATAACGAACAAGGGTGGCCTTATGAAAACCACAATAGGAGGCATAACTCAGACTCTGCTGTGAGTCTTACTCTCATAAATTAAGTAATTACATGGCTTTCCTTGATTTCGTTTTCTCCTTTTCAAAAAAGTCCTAGCAAATTTAGTATTAAAAAGACAAATGAGGCCCTGGCCAGGTAGCTCAGTTGGTTAGAGTGTCATCCCAATAAAACAAGGTTTCAGGTTTGATTCCCCAGCCAGTGCACATACAAGAATCAACCAATGATACATAAATAATTGGAACAACAAATTGATCCCAATTAAAACATCACTCAATTAAAAAAGAAAAAGACAAATGAGTAAATGACCTCGTCCTTTTCAAATCAACATTATTTGAATTAAATTTTAAAGACAAGGACAGATACACTAAAAATAGAAGTGAGAGAGCTAGGCAATGGAATATTTTAGGATAATATACTTATTTAGAAACTGAATTTAAGTTCAAAGTGCTAGATGTGATTTTGTCAGATTAAAAAAAAATTAGGTGGAGGAATGAAACTTTGTAAAAGATGAGACCAAAAACTTTTTCAAATAAAGAGTGCAAAGTAACAATGGAGATGGCTAGATCAAAGGAAAAAATATATAATGTTTCCAATATTCTTCCCAGCTAAAGAAAGGAAAAGAAATTGAGAGAAGAGGGGAGATGAATCAAACACAAGGAACACAGCTCTAAAATCTCCAAAACTGTAAGGCTGGTGTGGCTCAGTGGTTGAGCATTGACCCATGCACCAAGAGGTTGCTGGTTCAATTCCCAGTCAGGGCACATGCTGAGGTTGTGGGCCAAATCTCCAATGGATGGCATGCAGGAGGCAGCTAATCAATGTTCTCTCTCATCAATGTTTCCATTTCTCTCACCCTCTCCCTTCCTCTTTCTAAACAATAAAGAAAAAAATAAAATAAAATCTCTAAAACTTATAAATAAACTAAAATTAACTAAACTCATAATAAACTAAAATTTTTGACAGAAATTACTCCTACTGTCACTTAGATTTTTTTTTTAATTATGGTAAAATATACATGAAAAAATTTACCATTTTAACCATCTTTAAGTGTCATTAAGTACATTCCAATGTTGTACAACCATCATCACAATCCATCTCCAGAACTTTTTCACCCTCCCGAACTGAAACTCTGTACTCATTAAACAATAACTCCCCATTCCCTTAGCTAACTATTAAATGCCACCCCTCCCCTTTTTTTCCTGGCTAGAGAAAGACATTTTAACTGGAGGGCACCCAGGCAGGAGAATCTCTTTTGACTCTGAACACCCATAATTTCTTATACAGTCTACCTGCACTCAAAAAACTTAAGACTCAATTTACTTTGAAACTGAAGCCAAAGTAACATATTATTTATGTATATATCAAACCATTCTTTCAATTATGAACAAGACAGACATAGAATTTATAATCCTGTGTGAGAGGGGCAAAGTTAATAGAATAACTATGCTGACAATGAAAGTACTAAAACACTGAACAGTGGTGAAAAGAGGCAAATCTAGATACTGTGTTCTGAGAAAGCCTCTCCCGAGGTGACATCTAAAATAAGACCTGAAACTGCAAGAGTTTACATGTCTGATTAATCTTTTCCTCTCCCAAAGCACCTAGCATTATGCCTGTCGTATAGTAGATGGTCAATACAGCTTTCTTGCCCTCAATTTCCTCATTCCTGAAATGAACTTCCAAGATTTCCTTCCAAACACAAAATGTGCGAGTTTGAGGAGGATAAACTACGTATCAATGAAATGGATGTGGGGATGGGGGCGGTAGAAGCAAAAACTGAGTTCAGAAATGACTGTAAGACCCTAACTCTCTAAAGAAGAATCGGGTGCAAAAGCACATGAGTACACCAAAAGCACTTAGCTGCTAAGATGACTTGCATCTTAGACAATATACAAGCAGAAAACGTTCATTCACTCAGCCTGAGGAAACATACAGCAGAAGCATGAGAGGCTGAGACGTGTACAAGACTACACTAAAAAGCTCAATTCCCATTTTCCTTGGGACTCTTATGGCGAGGGGCCAGGAAGGTCCCCCAATTCTCTAGCTTCCAGGACAATAGTACCAATCTGGAGAGAAAGAAATCTGTTTCCCTTGCGGTTCAGTCCCAGGATGAAGTCAGCCACCAATCCCAGCTAGGGCTGGAGAAAATCGTTCCACATGATCAAAGATAAGAAAACCGACCCCTTCAATGGGGCGCCCCAGAAGAAAGCTACAATAAGGCACATCCTTTCCCCCAGCAGTATCTCCTCCTCCGCCCTTAGTGAAGCTGGCGCTAAGGGAGCGGCAGGGCCGGGGATGGGTCTCTCGTGGGTGTCCGCCTCCACCCGTCTGATACACAGCAGAGAAACTGGGCACCTCCGGAGCAGCTACGAAGAATCGGAGAACTGAAGACGCACCTGCATCCCAAGGAAGAGAAGTGGAAGGGAAAGAGAGGAGCTCAAGAAAGAAGTGTAAGTTCGATGGGCGGAAGCCGCCGGGGAAGCAGGCGAAGGATCCCTAAACCGGCTCTTACCCTCTGTGGGAGACGCCATCTTCCAACCCATGTCACGTGATGTGGCCAACCGTCGGCGGGAAAGCTAGGACCCACAAGCCACGCCCCCAAAGAGAAACCCTATCCCCAACTCCTAGTCCCATCTCGCCCCCCCCACCACGCCTCAATAGGGCAATCTTTGACTGACCCCGCCCCCGATGCTGGCCACACCCCTTCACACTCAGGATGTGGTGGAGCGCCGGCAAAATTCTAGGAAGGTTTTATTTACTTTCCTCAGTGAGGGGGTGGGGCCGCACTCATGCCTGTGGCCAATCAGGGTTCCCGGCTAGGGGGCGGCTTCCCTGAGTGCTGAATATAGAGCACCCAAGTTAGGGGCGTCTTCCCTACCTCCGCCAACAGAATTTGCTGAGGTGGGATAGGGGCGAGAGCTCTTTCACTTCTGACCAATCGCCTATCCCCAAAACTGGGAGTGAGGGGTGGAGTCAGGAGTTATGGCGAATGATTGGCTGGGGGAAATGGTCTTCTCCACCAATGGAGAGGTGCGGCAGGATAGAGGGGCGAAGTCTGGCAGCTGCAGATCTTCTAGGGAGTCACGGGGAGTAGAGGCACAGGGAGGCGGAGAAGAGGCAGCCCAGAACCATGGCGGCGGTAGTGGCGGCGGCGGCAGTGCGGGCTCGGATCCTGCAGGCGAGTGAGGGTGGCGCCGAGGGGTCGCGAAGCTAGGCATTGAGTCCTTTACGTCCACTCTCTGAGTCAACCCCTTCCTGGCGGTCCCTGCTGTTCCCACAAGACCTGTCAGGCCCTGTCCCACCTCCCTTACTCCGTATTCGCCCTCGTTGGATCCAGCCTCCGACTCTCATCCCTCCACCCCACCACCCCACCACCCCCTCCACCCCCATCACCAGCCTTTCACTTTTGAGCCTCCGGGTATCTGGCTCTGGCCCACTCTCCTCCTCTAGCCCTGCCCCATTACTGCTGTCACACTCTCTTGCCTTCACCTCTCCTCGGTCCTCTCACATTCTTTCTCTTTCACCTCTGCACCTGCCACCGCTCTCCCAGAAACTCTCCTCTGGTCACCATTTTTAGAGCTCTTTCACCTGCCAGGAGCGTCCAGACTGTTTCCTACCCCGACCCTACTCCACTGTCTGTAATCCCAGCTCAAGGGGGGAGGAGGAGGCACACGAGGGGCGAGGGTCAGTGAATGAACTTTGAATCTCCTTCTAAAAGTGTACACTAGGTTTCCCCCCAAAGTAGCCATTTGCTAAGCTATTTTTTCCCAGCTATGGCTATTTGTATTTTCCACAGGTTGTCCCCTTGCTTGCCAAGACTTTCAATTAAACTTTCAGCAAAGTTACAGTGTTCATGTTGACAGTAAATAAGAACACTTTTATGCTACTAGTTTGTCCCAACCACATGCAAGGGACTAAACATCCCTAAAACAGGCGATAGAGAAAAGGAACACAAGAAGTTCCAAGTTTGTGCCCCTGAGTTGGTTTTTAGTGGGCCAACACATCCTCAGCACTACCCATGGGAACTGGGGTCCTCTAGGAAGCCAGCCTAAGGAGAGGTGATAGAGCTATAGGAGCTCAGGCCTGAGGCCTGTGACCTCCAACCCTCTTCATACTCTTTACTCCATTGTTCACAGTTTAGCAAGGACTTAGAATGTGAGGCAAGATTTACTGCAGACAACATTCTCCAACCTGCAAGAAACAGCATTGTCCCTCTTACTCATTGTCTCCAGCCTGGGAACTTCTTCCTTTATATTACTGGACTTTTAGATAATATTGTTATTTGCCAGGTGTTAGTGAGTTCTGCTGCAGAAACTTAATCACTTTTAAGATTTTAGCACAGTCAGCAAAGGTTTATATTTAAATATGCTATTTAATGGGAAAGTGTGGAGAATGGGTGGGAAGGGTTTGTCAGATGATCTAGCTTCATTTGTATATTTCTTGCTGTGATCCCAGTTCTGTTTTTCTAGTATCCTTTTTGTGTGTGTTTATCTTCAGATAGAGCGGGAAGGAGGGAGGAAGGGAGAGAGAGAGAGAAACATCGATGTGAGAGAGACACACCAAGTGGCTGCCACCCACACGACCCCAACGGGGCCAGGTACAAACTGCAACCGAGGTACATGCCCTTAGCGGGAACCGAACCCGGGGCTCTCTGGTCCGCAGGCCGATGCTCTAACCGCTGAGCCAAACTGGCCAGGGCTCTAGTATCCATTTTTTAATAGTAGGAAAGCAAAATTTGTACCCTATGTTTTCCATTTCTCCTTGAAATCTTTTAATGAAATTGACTTTTTTCCTTTGCCTCCTTCACCTCCCCTCAATCACAATGAATCATTAAAAAGAGATCCCTGAGAGGATACTATATTTTGTCTTTTGCATCAAGGAGAAGAAGAATCTTCCTCCCCATGTACTTTATTTTGGAAACACACTATTTTCTTAGTCATTTGAAGAAACTTTTGAGTTGAACTGGAAAAGAACAGAAATGGTAGTCCTTAGCCAATTAGTAGTTTCTGTAAAATGAAACTTTGATAAAAAATGGTCTAGATTCTGGCAGTCATGAATTTTGGAGGACTATCAAAAGGATGTGTAAAGGAGAGAGTTCATGTTTTTAGTTATTTAAAGTGCATATTCAACATAGCATCTCTATTGTGGTGACTAGTAAAATTTAGAACTTTGGCTTCTTGTGTAATTATGATTCCCATTCAGAAAACCAGTCTCAAAGAGTCTCAGTGACTTGCATCAGAGATGTGGTATAAAAAGCACAGCCTGCCCTAGCAGGTTTGGCTCAGCGGTAGAGCGTTGGCCCATGGAGCAATAAGTACTGGGTTTGATTCTGGCCAAGGGCACATACTTCCGTTGTAGCCAGGCGCTGGTCGGGGGTCGTGTGGAAGGCAACCAGTCGATGTGTCCCTCTCACTCCCTTCCTCTGTCTGAAGATAAAGTTTCCTCCAGTGAGGATTTTTAAAAAAGCACAGCCCTGGCTGGGTGGTCCGTTTGGTTGGAGTGTCATCTCATACACTAAAGTGTTGTGGGTTTGATTTCGGTCAGGGGACACACCTTGGTTGTAGGTTCGATCCCCAGTTGGAGCACAATTTGGGAGGCAACCATCAATGTTTCTCACATTGATGACTCTCTCTCTTTCTCCCTACTCCTCCCCCACACACACTTCCTCTCTCTCTAAAAAAAAAATCAATAAAAATATATCCTCAGGTGAGGATTACAAAAAATAAAAAAGTACAGGCTTCACAATCATACATGGATTCTATCCCAGCTCCACCATTTGTAGTTTTAAGAATGTTTGTGAAGTTCCCACTAGGGGCATGTACCAAAAAAAAAAAAAGAATAATGTTTGCCCTGGCCGGTTTGGCTCAGCGGTTAGAGCGTCGGCCTGTGGTCCTGAGAGACCGGGTTCGGTTCCCGCTAAGGGCGAGTACCTCGGTTGCAGTTTGTCCCCGGCCCTGGTTGGTTGTGCGGGTGGCAGCCACTCGATGTGTTCCTTTCACATCGATGTTTCTCTCTCTCTCTCTGTTCCTCTCTCTCCCTCCCACTCTACCTGAACAAAAAATGGAAAAATGTCCTCGGGTGAGGATAAAAAAAAAAAAAAAAAGAATGTTTGTGAAGCCTGGCCACTATGGCTCAGTGGTTGAGCATCGACCCATGCATGAAGAGGTCGCCGGTTCAATTCCCCATCAGGGCACATGCCCAGGTTATGGGCCACATCCGCAATGGGGGGCATGCAGGAGGCAGCCAACCGATGTTCTCTCTCATCGATGTTTCTATCCCTCCCTCTCCCTTTCTCTCTCTCTCAAATCAATAAAAAAAATATTTAAAAAAATATTTGTGAAGATTAGAGTTAATGAATGTAATGAAGTAAGTTACTAACACTGATGGCTAAAGTCATGCAAGGTTTTCCAACTAGTAATTAAACTCAGGACTTAAGTCTTGCCATCTGTTTCTGTGTCAGGCACTCTCCCCAGGCTTTGGGAAAGGAGAAGTAAATAAAATACTCAGTGATGCCCAGCCAGTGTGGCTCAGTGGATTGGGTGTCGTCCCATGGACTGAGAGGCCCCAATTGGTCGTGACACATGCCCAGGTTTCGGGCTGATCCCCAGTAGGGTCATACAGGGGCAGCCAATCTATGTTCTCTCTCATTGGTGTTCTCTTTCTCTCCCAAAAAATCAATAAAAACATATTTTAAAAAAATACTCACTGAGCCCTGGCCATTTTGGTTCAGCAGTTAGAGCGTTGGCCCACAGACCAGAGAGACCCAGGTTCAGCTCCCGCTAAGGGCACGTACCTTGGTTGCACTTCGTCCCCAGCCCTGCTTGGGGTTGTGTGGGTGGCGACCAGTCAATTTGTCTCTCTCACATCACTGTTTCTCTCTCTCTTCCTCCGCTCTATCTGAAATGCAAAATTGTCCTTGGGTAAGGATAAAAAAAAAAAAAATACTCACTGAAATCTCTCCTACTGTAATGCAACAAGTGCTGAATAATAGAAGTGCAGGGTACTGCAGGAACATATGGAGAGAGACCCAAACTCAACCTGTACAATTCAGGAAAAGATTCCAAAAGGAGTTGGCTCTGGGCTTGAGTCTTGCAAGACTAGCAGGCCTTTAGTCAAGGGGAGAAGGGAGTTCCTGATAAAGGAAATAGCAAGTACAACATAAACATCTAGAGTGCAAGAAGTTTGGTGTGGCTGGACTTAGGAAAGTTTTTTTTAGCAACAGTGCTAATGATTGTTTCTTGGGAAGTAAAGGTAGATCTACCCTGTCAAAAGCTATGTGATAATGTTTTATTATACCAGATGCAGTGCCTTTTATGCCCTCTTGACAGCAGGGAGGCTGTGTGCAAGTGAAAAATATAAAACTAAGTGGTCTTGCCCTGGCCAGCATGATTCAGTGGTTAGAACATCCACTCTTGGACCAAAGGGTCGTGGTTCAATTCTGGTCAAGTGTATGTACCTGGGTTGCAGGTTCAGTCCTAGCCACAGTCAGGGCATGTGTGGGGAGGCATCAATGTGTCTCTCTCACATCAGTGTTTCTCTCTCTCTCTCTCTCTCTCTCTCTCTCTCTCTCTCACTCGCTTGCTCTCTTTCTCTTCTTCCCTCCCTCCCTTTCACTCTCTCTCTAAAAAAAAAAAAAATCCTTAGGTGAGGGTTAACAACAACAAAAAACATCTTCTTCTGTTAAGGATTAATCAAGGAAAAAAAAAACCTACATGAACTA